GTCAAAAGAGGGGGAGGCCAACCCACACTACCTGGATGGGTGTTTTGTACCTCTGTCTTGGTGGAGATTTTTTTTTATAATGCAACTGTGTGTATATATAGTTTTAATCCTGTCAATGTACACTGTTTTTTAATTATTGGTTCTTAGCTGTTCTTAATTTTATCTGCAAGGCACTTCGAGTCCCTGTCAGGGAAGATGGCAGGGGTATAAGTAAATATATAATAATATAACAACAGTGTCAGAGCAGAGGCACAGCTGCAGGGTTGCAATGAAAATGACAGATACTGTTGAGTGTGCTAGTTGGCTCTGCACAGGAAAGCTCCACATCCTTTTTGGTTTTTTATGTGAAACCAGAATGGACATGATCCTCTGGAAAGCCACGCAGCTCCCATTTATCACAAAGGAGCATCCACAGGGGGAAAGTTTCTCAAAGAATCGTGCTCGGCGTGCTCTTCTGGAAAAGACTGGGAAATCTGTTTCTGGAAGTGCTGATTTCTGCCAGCTGGGGGCTGTTTAATTTTCTGCTCATCTCCCCAAAAGGCAGAAGCCAGCTTGCATCACTTTATATCATGCAATCCTGCTGGGAAATTAACTAGGGAAAGGCAGAGGTGATGAAATACAGGCCACACAAGGCTTGCCTGAGTCACCGGCCTCTTTAGTCACAATAGTTTTGAGTTCTATAGTGCACAGAACATAGGACTACCAACTCTCCCCACCCCTTTCCAGGACAACTCCTTTTTGGGCTGCGTGACAGATAGAGAGTAAGTGATTTTTTTTACTCAGCAGGAAGTTGATGAGATTCATCCTCTGAATGTCATCCAGTCATGCTCAGCATTAAAAGCTCAGAATCCTCTCGGAAATAAAAGTTGGCAACCCCACAAGAGACGGCCTTAGCAAGTGGAGGTGTAGGGAATATGGCAGTGCAGCATTTGGCTTATACAAGCTGGACACTGTAACAACAGGATACTGTCAACTAGGTGGGCCATGGGCCTGATCCAGCACGCTCTTCTTATGTTGAGTTTGGACTTCAGGCTCTGTTAGGTCTATCCCAGTTTTGGAACACTCTTTTGTGATAGCAGAACCCCATTTTTACCAGCAAACCTAATGATCTGGGCATTTAGGATGTTAAATAGCTTTGATTATCAAAGAAAACTGAACCCATGGCATACATAGGAAGATGTGGGTTGATCTGCTGAGGATGTGTAGGAATGGAAATGGATTATCTATCCCCTCCAGCCCTATGATGTCTATCTTAAACTTGAAGCAGGAATGCAGCTCTGAGCAATGCACAATATCACCCCCCCCCAGTGTTCAGTGGATTCAAAGGGACCCCCATGGCATGGTCCCTCGTTGGCCTGCAGGAAGACTGAATGTGGCTTTTCTGTGCCTGATGTTGGCACCAGGCTGCAGTGGAGGTAATGTCAGGATAAATCCCTCATTCGTTTCTCTTGTTCTTCCTCCCTTTGCCAGCAACTGTGGGGAAATGCTGCACAAAATGTCCACATCATGTCATAAAGCCCTGGCCCAAGAGAGTGAGCAATGCCAAAGAACATCCGCCAAGCAGTTTGTAATGAGAGTCCAGGTGGGTGCCAGACACAAAATCAATGAGGTGTCCTTCAGGAGTGTAGCACATGCAGGAGCTGGAGAGCTGTAACAGGAAGCTGCTCAGAACACAAGCTAAAATTCATGTCCTGCTGGGGCAAAGATGGCCAATAGCAAGGCAGGATGTGTCAGCGATTGCTCACCCTGTGCATGGGGGTTGGCATGGAAATGTTCGAGAGAGATGTTTGGAAAAGTGATTCTTGCTGTCTTGTAACAAAGTTAGCACAATGGTGATTGCTCCAAGCAGATTAAAACTTGGTTAGATTTGCATCTGCCCTCATTCACCTTTAAACAAATGTTTCCCATGAAAATATTTAGGCTAGAATAAATCATAGAAACTTAGCTTTGCAAATAAGTGAATGTTCTACTCACATAGTTTCAGAAGTAACAGCAAACAAGTCTCCATTTTTTGGCATTACAGTAAAAGTAAATAAGAAAAAAGGTCCGAAATGTATTTGAAAGAAAAGTACTTACAAAAAGGATCATGCAATCTTTGGGTTAGCAAAGATACAGGCTTTAAAAATCTCCCTTTTGGAGAGATTCAAGTTCACTTGGTTTTTCTTGCAGCTTGGTCATTGGCTGCATGGCCCCTTGCTCAAAATCAATACGGTAGTCTTTCAAAAGTTTGAAGCTATTTGCATGTCAGCCTCATGCCATGAGCCTTTGTCATTTTTAACACATTCTCTTTCCCTGCATATTCCAAATGGCTGATTTTATGCTTTAAGCAGGGATGGGGAACCCATGTGGCTGTCCGGAAGTTGGGAACGATATGTAAATTGTCTTGAGACTAATGTAGACGGAGATACATAAATTCATGAAGTAAAAAATAAAAAATTAACTGCAATTCCCATCATCCCTAAATATTAGCTGTGCTTGATGGGAGTTTTAGTCCAACAACCTCTGGAGGGCGCCAGGTTAGCCACTGCGCTATGGCTTCTTTTTTCATCATGAAATGTGGACTTGTATTGGACTCCTTGTGAGGCTTTGCCAAAGTCATCCATATGTGATGCCAATGTTGCATCATAGCATGGGCAATGGGAAGAGCTATGAAAAAGAGTCTGTCCAACTCCTTTCATGGTTGCATTATTTGGTGCCACTTAGTTGCTGGTTAGTTACTGGAAACTGCATTTTGTTTCATTGGTGTGTAGATATCCGACAACAAAAGCTGACCCTGCACATGTAGAGCTATGCGCTCACCATCACTGATTGCCTAGGGTTATAGAGGCCTCCTGCCTGCTAGCCTACCAAGACATTCTCTCTTTCCATATTGAAAACCATTGAACCTCCGCCTCACTTTATGAAGCAGCTCAAGAAGCACGATGTTGAATATGGGAAAGAGATGGGGGTGGAGTGGTGGTGGGGAATGAATCACACTTCCAAGGTTTCATTTGGTGTGCTTCTATTGCACTTTGATCCATCCAATTATCCGAAAGGAGCCTGACTTGCAAAAAGGGCTTTAAATCCAGCAGACCTAGTGTGAAGCAGCACTCTGATACCTGTGGTTCTTGATGCTGGGTCAATGAGGAAAGGCAATGGGGGCAAACCTTTCAAGAGATGATGAACTACATTGATTGGTACCTGCCAGCTGCTTTGCCTGAAATAGACTGAACAAGGGAGGTGTAGCAGCTGCAGGAGGAGAGAGGCGCTCTGCCTTGAATTCAGGCACTGCAGCGCAGACGTGGGATAATTGCTGAGGAATGGGTGTACAATGGCTCTCACTGATGTCTTCCTAGGCTGTGACCTCACTCCAACACTACAGCAGTGGGTCTGTGAATTGCTCTGTCCTAACATTTGGGTTGCCTCTGGCCAGCCAATGGGGAGGAGACCGTTAGCCTGTGACATAGCAGCCAACTTTTAGGCGCTGAAGTCCCTTCACCCCCCAATATTTTTTTTGAGGGGGCTGCCTCCCCAGTTGATGGGCATTGCCATTCAGAAGGTATGTGTGGCCAGCATGTTCTGATCTATTGTGCAGGGTGGGGCTTCCCAGGGCCTCCCAATATTTTATTCAAGTTGTGTGACATAACACACAAGGAAGTTTAGTGAGTCGTGTCCCTGCCCACACCATCCTCATGCCTACTTAGGGGGCTACAACTTGCACGCCATTGCTGGCTTGTCATTGCTCATCAAACTGCTATAGGTTCATGAACTGTGTGAAATGCACAAACCTATTGGGAGAGAAGCTTAAGTAACGAATGACCACTGGCAGAACAGAGTGTGCAAGGTGGGTCTGCCTACAGATGATCCTCTTGTGCAGCAGCTGCCTTTGGCTAGAGTCCCCCCAGCCAGAAGAATGTGGATTCTTCACCATCAAAGAACCTATTCATGAATTGGGGGGGGCCCTGCACATTCATTTTCTGCCTTCTTCCCATAGGAACCTACCCCCCCCCCCCCGTTGTTGGTCTTTAGTAGCACAAAACGGTCTGGCTTCCCTCTCATTTTCACCTGGGTTTCTCTGAGAGCATTTTCTGGCCTCAGCAGATTGCTGTCTGTAGTGGAGTTTGAATTACATGGGTCACTGAGCATTAGGCTTGCTCCTCCGCTGCATAGCCATTCCCTGGAGCCTCATGGAGGATTTGGAGGGAGGAAGAGGGAGGCTCCTGGTGCTGATTAGCTAGCAAGAGAGGCTATGCACCTTCTTCAGTTTTTCTAACATGGTGATTTTTGCGTAGCGCAACCCTCCCCCCCCCTCAAACATCATGAGTCATGATATATTGCCAGGTAAGAATTATTAAACTGATATCATTATATGGACTTCAAACTGGTTTTGGATGACATACTGATATATCACTCAGTCTGCTGATTTAAGATTGTCTAGCACCAGTGCTTTTTTAAATGGGGGTACGCGGGGGTATGCATACCCCTAAACATTGTGTGAATCTAAGTTTGGCCTCATTGGGGGGCAGTATTTCGATATGAGTAGGAAAATGAGAGTACCCCTAAACATTATTTTTTTTTTTAGAAAAAAGCACTGTCTAGCACCATGCCTTCCCCCAACAATACTAGTCATCATTAGGCTCTTGGATTTCTTGAATAACCTTTCAGCAGGAGTGAAAGGATCGTGTTTTATTGTACATCATAGTACAGATCTGGAAAGAGGTGGAGCCTTCCTGTGCAGTCTTGAGATTTCTCTGCTACGGAATACCATGTGTTTGTGTGTGGCTGCATGCTGGCTGAAATGTTGTGCCTCCTTTCTCAAGTATGCCAAGAGAACTCCTTCCTGCAGTTCAATAGCCAACTGTGTGTAGGCAGCACAACTTTTTTTGTACATGTTAACAAAGAAGTAAAATAAGGACACTATAGAATTTGAAGCGCTAGATTTTATAGTTGCTCTTCACACGTCCACAAACACACACACACACACACACACACACACACACACACACACACACAAACCTACCTCTCTGCTTACAAAGTTTGCAAAGCCAGCCAAGAAAGATGACCTCTTATGTGTACCAAAAGCGAACAGAGCTTTTTTTCTGTTGAAATTGCTTTATTTTTGAATCCATAAATATTTGTTACTGACAAAAGTGGAAAAAAATCCTTAAGACTCTAATTTTTTTTTTTTTACTAAACCGGTAATAGTTTTGTTTACAGTACCTACAGAATGTGCTTTTACAGGTAAGTATAACAACAAGGATAATACAGAGAAAAACAGTCAAATACTGCTGCCTTGAAGCTTAATGCGTAACCAAGAGTCTGTGCAAAGATACAGATAACAAATGTACTTTCTTGTCAGAACTACTGAAGAATAAACATGGATTCCATAAACTGGGCTAAAGCACAAAGAGGGCTGGACATTCAACCTTCCCCTCAGGAAATAGCTATCCCCCAAATTAAGCTGGTTACAATAAGATTTGGCTTCCTTGGAGAAGAGAAACTCTTGCTAAAGGATTCCTTGTCAGCTTATGGAATGAAGGCTTGAAGAAGCGACTGCAAAGCATGTGGTTAGAGCAACAGTAAGGCGCAGTTCTACACCATTGGTGAGAACTTCCACAAATCATGAAAGGTCACAAAAAGAGACACCAAATGCCATTTTCGCTAACTATTGAGATAATGGACTTTTTAGTCCCCCCTCCCCAGATTTACATAAATATAATAAGAACAGTATGTCTGTCTCCCTTCATTCTCACAGGCCTTTGGCAGATGAAGTACTGTATAATGTTTGGAAATGATTCCACCTGCTGCCTCTACAACTCAGTGAAGACACCTCAGAGATGATGCTGGACCATCCTGTTGATTAGCAGCAAACATACAACATACAGGTAGCTATTATTTGAGAACTGAGCCAATCCAGAGTTATTGCTGAGATGTTTCTGGGAGAGCATTACATTAGTTTTTGAAGTTTTAACCCTTGTGAAAAATTAACACAGGGAATTGAGATGGTTCCAGTGGAGGTCTGCTAAGGAATCTCAAGCTGGCTAACAAGTCACAGAGTTAGAACTGTTATCTTTGTTAATGTTCCTCAGCATCCAAGAGATGGTTGATTGTGTGAAATGTGCCTTCCATATAAGTCAGGGTAGGCCAGGATGACTGAAATCGTTAGTTGTTCTGAATCAACAATCATTGTTTGCTGAATAGGAAACCATATGGCAGGGCTGGGGTCCTTCTTCCCTCCAGGTATTTATGGACCAACTTCCATCAGGCCCAGCCAGGGTAGCTATAAGGGACTGGGATGATGGGAGTTGTAGCCCAGCAACACCTGAAGGCTCCAAGGTTTCCCTGCCACAGGGTATTTTAACCACACTCTTTTGCTCACAACTTCAAGGCCACTCTCACGTCACTGCATGGCACCCACCTCTGCATTGCCAAAGATGATGTTTGCACATTGTCACTTATACCAAGATGAACTAGAATCGGAGGGCTAATTATTCCAGAGCTTTTCTCCCTTTGCTTTCAGCTCACTTCAGCCTGTGATTAACATTTGATTTAACATTTGACCATGGGAAGAAATGAGAATTTTGAAAACCAGGGAAGTTTAAGAAAGGAACCCTAAAACATACACACGCGGGGTGGGTAGCTATATAGTTATATTAGCCCTGTTCAGTGAAACACAAGATTGCTTCATTTAGGAAATGACATTTCCTGTGCATGCATTAAGATTGTTTTCTGTTTCACGGACTTACTTCTGTCTATCTGTTCTGAGGATTGCACTATTTTATGAGTTCATCTTGAACTCTTTCTCATTCTTCCCAGTCTTGTTATATACTTGAACCCAACCCAGAGGAGTGTAATGCGGCTTGGCCTGTGCAAGAACTGACCTACAGGGGATGCTATAATCACAGGAGGAACCAACCAAGGCAGCTGTAGGACAATCTACTCTTGCAAGTCACAGGTCAGAGAGGTGTTGCTGTTGGGTTTTGTTTTGTCTTTTTGCCTTACCCCTTTCCCTGGGAAAACTTGCTGTTTGCTGCTGAATTGGAAGAAATTTTGTTTGAGTTCCGGATTGGCGTTTGTTTCAATTCAGCAGTAAACAGTAGGTTTTTCTTGGGAAAGAAACCTTTCAGACTCGTGACTTGAATTCATGGGAGAAACTAAAGTGTGGATGGGCCCTGTGTCAGGGCTTGCTGTTTGTGTACACATAAGATACTGATTTCATGTTATCCATTCTGGAAAATTTTGTTGGAAGGTCAATGTGATAAAACGAAGGCTAAATAAAAACTAAAAATGGAAGGGCACACCTTAAAATGTGAAATTTGAAACCAGCAAATACTTCGCAGGGAGCTGTATTTGGCTCTGGTTCCCTGTCATGTGTGCACATGTTGCTGAACATAGGTGAAGCAACTAAAAGGAAAAAAGGCTTTTTGACTGATTGTGGGGGAAGAACTGTCCATGCAGCCAGAAGTGCCTTTGAAATCTGCACTGTAGTGGCTCACTCAGCTACACAGACAAGCTCACATTTCAATTAAAATTGGTTTGCCTTTAACTACGAATCTCTCCCGAATCTCTGGCTGCATACGTCGTTTTTGAGAACCCTGTATTTTTGTGTAGAGCACTTGGATGTTTTTGTTTTAATAATCAAGCAATATATAAAATTCTGTCAAGTAAACAAATAAAAAAATATTCATTCTAGTTCCCCATATGAGTAGATGAGAGAGATAATGGGGATGAATGTTCTAGCTTTGTCCTCTGTCGCTGTTGGGAAGGGCAAGTGTTTCTGATCTTTCCCATTTTAATATGCATATGTTTGTGTGCCATCTTCCTTAATGTACACATTTTTGCAAAGCAGTTTCACCCATACATGCCTTTTTATGCACACTCCTCCAACATATGCATTTCTGTATACATTACTTGGCTGGACAACTGCGTTGCAAAATGCAGGGAACTGAATCCTAAGGTTGGCTATGTTCTGGTTCACATATTGTTTCAGAAAGTATGAATTAGGTTGGCTCACCTTTAATCAAATGTCTCCCTTATCACTAATCCGCGTTCTCATTGCCCTCCATAAGCTGAAGGCAAATGTCTCCACCAGTAAACTGTCCTACTCATGTACGCTCCCCATGCAATTTAGTTTTAACTTGATTGGGGAGCCTATGTGAGCTCTATCCTTCCAACTTAGGGAGCATGACAGCAACAACAGTGGTGGTAAGGAGCTGGGATACATCCCACTGCCGCCCACTGTTTCTCGTTGTGTGAGAGGTTCACAATCCAGTCATAGGGGTATGTAGCTTTGTGGGGGATTGCAGTCCAAGTTTCCTGCTGTCTGTGGCCTTTGGAACCAACCATCCATAAAGCAACCCTTTATCTGAATGTTTTCTGGAAACCATTAGGTTAAAAAACAAGAACACCTTCCTGAGAAGTCCTCAAAGACTTTGTTGCTCTTATCAGAGTAGGGGAATTACTCCTGAAATGAGAAGGCTAAGGAGATGGCTCTGTGTTAGGCAGAAGAAACTGAACCGGTGAGATGTGATGAGGGAGATCTCTGCTTAGAGGAAACATGTCCATGTGGTTTATTTTTGTATTTCCCACCAAGCTAAAAGCTCACATACCACACCTGCATTGCAAGTCAGGGCTCCTTTCCTTCTCCCTGAAATCACTGAGTAGAGCTTAGGAACTGAGCCTTCACAATCTCAGGAGGAAGAAAACACATGGAAGAGCAAGATGGCCACTCCATAACCATTGTGTGTATATATATATATATATATATATATATATATATATATATATATATATATATATGCAGGTTTTGGTGTCCTCGGGTGTCTTCCCGTGTAAAAGTTGGGGTGTCTAGGCGACGTTTCGACGAGGTCTCACTCGTCATCTTCAGGCTGGTGCTTTCGGCTTCTTGTTACTGGAACAGAGCAGGATCTCAGTGTTTGAGTTCCTATAAATACTGTTGAGGGGGTGTGGTGTATAGCCTCCAATGTTCTGGGCAGAGAGGAAGTTCCCAGGTTAGTGTGCCTTTTCTTCTTTTGTTCCTTAATTACTTGAGGGATATCTTGAGTGATTTCTTGAGTGATATCCTGAGTACCACTTAGGTGGGTCATTAGGTGTGGATTAGTTGCTAAAGCCTTCGTGTCTTGACCTCTTGAACTTTGTGAAGAGTTTTTCTGAGAAGATGGCTGTACTGCACTTAGTTGTGCTTTGGCTTGGCTTCGTGTATAGGGGCGAGCTGTGGTTTTGTGTCCTGTGCAGGGATTGCAGGGGGGTGCAGCATCCGGAGGTGCCACCATGGTTTGGCTACTGGATGGTGTCTGTAATTTATCTGTGGAGAGGGTCTGGGTTTGGGTCTGGTGTGGTTGATTGGTGATGGCGTTCTGTGTGCCTCTGGATCTGGTGTCGGTTTTTGTGGGGAGGGCTAATTTCCAGATGTCTGGCAGGCGGGATGTGTCGTCACGCTTGTTCATGTTGTGAGGGTGTTTCTCTATCTCGATGGCTTCCATGATTATTCTCTTGTGGTGATGTTCCATGTTAGAGAGCAATTTGGAATCTGCAAAATTAATTTCGTGTCCTGTTTCTTTCATGTGTTGGAAAAGAGAGGAAGTTTTTTCTTCTTTTTTGACGGCATTCTTGTGTTCTGCGATACGTGCATTTATTCGTCTGTTTGTTTGTCCAATGTACGTGGCTGGGCAGACTTTGCAGGGTATTTCATAGACCCCTTGGTTTTCCAACTGGATTTTATCCTTGGGGTTTCTGAGGATATTGGCTATTTTTTGGTTGGTGCAAAAGGCTGTTTTGATATTGTGTTTATGGAGGATTTTGCTAATTTTATCTGTAGTGCCCTTGATATAAGGAAGGAGGGCCATGCCATTGTTTTCTTCTGTGTCTTGGTTTTTGGGGGGTGTTTCTTTTTGCATTAGCTTCGTAACCCTGTTTTGCTGGTATCCATTGGCGATTAACACATTGGAGAGATTCTGTAACTCAGTTGTCAAGTGGTCTTTGTCAGCCAGGCGTTTGGTTCTGGAGATGAGAGTCTTGGCTACGGAGTTTATTTGTGCAGGGTGGTGGTGTGATTGTGCATGTAAGTAGCGGTTGGTGTGTGTTTTTTTCCGGTAGATAGTGTGTCCTAGGGAGCCATCAGGTTTTTTGTAGATTAGGACGTCAAGGAAGGGGAGTTGGTTGTTGGCTTCTATTTCCATAGTGAATTGTATTTTGGGGTGTAGGCTGTTGAGATGTGTGAGGAAGCTATCTAGTTTTTCCTTCCCGTGTGGCCAAATTACAAAGGTGTCGTCAACATATCTGAGCCAAAGTTTGGGTTTGTGTTCTGACTTGTCTAAAGCATTGGTTTCAAAGTGTTCCATGTACAGGTTTGCGATGACCGGTGAGAGTGGTGATCCCATAGGTGCTCCTTCTATCTGTTTGTATCTTTGTCCATTGTGGATGAAGTACGTGTTGGTTAGGCAGTGGTTGGTCAGGTCCAGGATGTATTCGGGGGGATTGTATTTGTTTTGAATGGCTGTCAAGGCTTCATTAATGGGCACTTGTGTGAAGAGAGATACAACATCGAAGCTCACAAGTAGGTCATTGGGATGTAGGTTTTGCTTCTTTATTGTTTCTATGAACTGGAAGGAGTTTGTAACGTGTGAAGAGATGGATTCTGCATAGGGCTGAAGTTGCTTAGCGAGAAATTTAGCGAGATTTTGTAGAGGTGAGCCTATGGAGCTGACTATTGGTCTGAGTGGTGTTCCTTCTTTGTGTATCTTGGGGAGGCCGTAGAGTTTGGGGCATCTGGATGATTTTTCTCTGGGGATGATTCTTAGCTGGATTTCTTCACTGATAGGGGAGGCTTTTATTTTGGATTTGGTGGTTTTTTCCAGATAGGTGGTGGGATCTGTTTTTATAGGTTGGTAGGTAGGGTCTTGGAGTAGATTTGATAGTTTTGCTTGGTAGTCCGATGTGTTCATCACAACAGTGGCATTACCTTTGTCTGCTGGGAGAATGATTATGTTGTTGTCTTTCCTCAGGTTGGTGAGTGCTTTCTGTTCTTCTTTGTGTAAATTGCTTCTGGGTGGTTTGCTGGAGCAGAGGATGTTGGTGACTTCAAGTCTGATTTTATTGGCTTCATCTGGGTTGATTTTGGTTAGGCTAGCTTCGACTCCGCATATGATGTTTTCCGTGGGGATGCGTCTCGGGGCGACTGCAAAGTTGAAACCTTTGGAGAGTACTTTGGTTTCAGTTGAGGTGAGGATCCTGTCTGATATGTTATGTACTGTTTGTTTCATGGGTTGTTGTGGAGGGTGGCTGGGCTTCTGGCGTTTCTCTAGTTTGTGGAGTTTGTTGGTGTGTGTGTCTGTCTTATGTGAGGTCTCAGTTTCAGCTCTCCAGACGGCTAGTTGTTTGCATTTGTCCCAGAGTGCAGGGTGGATTTTGTTACAGAGTTTGAGGTGAAGAGTGAGCAGATCTTTGTTGGTTTGGTTTAGTAGGTATCTTTTCTTATGTAGTTCGTTTCTGATTAGGGATAGTTCAGTTCGTTTCAGGATCCTTTCGGTAGCTGGGGTTTTAGAGTGGAATTTAAGTTGGAAGCATGTGGGAATTAAGTTGTTGTCTCGGCAGTTGCGTAGGAACAAGAGATCACATAAGATGGTGGCTCTTCGGATTTCTAGTTTCTCGTAGGTTCTTGTCAGCTGGAATCTACGAAAGCATATATATATATATATATATATAAAGTTCAATAGCACACCTTCTCTTAGGGTTAGGATGTAAAATTCAGGTAACTGATAATATTTGTATTAAACCTACAGCAACACCTGCTGCTACTTGGAGAAACCCTGGAAAAACTTGAATGGCTGCAAAATGCTGAAATGAACATGTGGGTCCTGCTTCAATGGCAGTAAGTAATGACTCATTTCTTGCCTAAATTCAAAGTCTGGTTCTTATTACCTTGAAAGCCCTCAATGGACTGAGCCCAGAGTACTTGAAGGAGTATCCTTTGCAGTATGATCCTACATGCTTCTGAGGTCAATGGAAGAGGATTTCATGTGTAGTTTGATTCCTGGCTTTAGCTGAAGCCGATTTTGGGGAGAGTGCAGGGGAAGGAGAGGCTGACTTTTGCTCGTGTGACGGTGGGTTTTGCCCTCTTTAGTGGAAAGGCAGGGATATAAATGGGGGGGGGGGCTTTACTTAGGCAATATGTAGAAAATTTGGTATTCTCAGAACTTGAAGGACACTTGGCTTATGTACACTTCTCACAAGGTTAGTGCATCAACTCCCTCTGTCTCAAGCAGCATAGGAACAATCACTAGTTTTAATGGGCTTGATATTAGGCAGCCTTACATCCAGATGTAAGTGGCTCTGAGACTGGATGCTAGCTGAACCATCTAACTTCAGAGAACAGTTGAGCCAAAGTAATCAGAACCGCTCACTTCCCTCGTTTTAATGGGCTATCCTATAACACCTCTCTGAATCCATCGAGGCAAATTGCAGGCAGTTGTGACTCCATGGAGATCTCACTTAGGGTAACACGAGGGCTCTGCATTTTCTTCAGAGGACTGTACTGGTGATCTCAGAAGGGTATGTGAGCTGTTGGGAGGCCAAGGCCTGCTTTGTATAGTATGCAGGCAGCATGGTTGCGCCACACACAAAAGGGCACTTCTGCAGCGTTTGAGGCCATGCGATTCCCATAACATTGCGGCAACTGAGTGGATTCGTGGTCATACAGCTGCAGTTTGCAGCAGCAACCACAGTGCTTGCATCCTGTATAAAGGCAGCCCAACAGGCAGGAAAGGAGACCAACAGTGCTTTGCAGATTATTATTTCAGTAGAACAGGCCAAGAAGTGGCCTGAAAATGAGCCATACAATATTGGACAACAGAACACCATTCTACTGGGAAATGTACAGATGGCCAGATTTGTGGTGACATTTGGGAAACAGAGTCCCCCTCAGTACTACTATATGTGCCCCTGTGCTCTCATAACTAGGTCTGTCTTGTCTACCTGTAGCATTTCATTGCTTGGGTCTGTATCCTTCCTCCTCTCCGATGCCTGCTTCACCCAGGTGCATTGGGTGGTGCATTGGTTTACATCATGGCAAATCAGAATGACACACCTTATGTATTTGACAGTACTACTATATGTGCCCCTGTGCTCTCATAACTAGGTCTCATAACTAGGTCTGTCTTGTCTACCTGTAGCATTTCATTGCTTGGGTCTGTATCCTTCCTCCTCTCCGATGCCTGCTTCACCCAGGTGCATTGGTTTACATCATGGCAAATCAGAATGACACACCTTATGTATTTGACACACCATATTCAAGATGGCACACAAGACTTTTGTTTCCGGAGAGGTTCTATAGCAGACCCTCTCATAGGTCAACAGCTTTTATTGTCCATACGGTTGGGCACCAGAGATCTTTGAAGATAACTATGCTCAGCATAAATTATGGAGAAAACTGCCTCTCCCTTTCCCGCTACTGTGTGACCATACCTGTGTGCATTGCAGCTAGTGGCAAACACTTCAGAGTGTATGCCTGTTGCTCAGGAATAGAACATAAGCAACGATGGCTCGTGACCTTTGCCTTCTTCCCTTCTCAGCCCAGTTTCTGTTAAGCAAAGTACAGGGTTTCTTATGGCTCTGATCTGTGGCCTACAAACACAACACACCAATGAAAAGCAGCTCTGCAGTTGCTTTCGGCTGGTGCTGTACGCAAAACGTGATTGGTAAAAAGGGACAGGATATCACTTTTCCAATGCGTGCCTCTCTGAAAAAATGCAGAGAGAAAATAAAAGCTCATGAAGGGAAATTCCTGAGGCTGCCCAGTGAAGGCCACTAATGTCAGGAACTATTGTTCAATGCACATATTTAGACTGTTTAGCTCTGTGGGATCCTATTTAATGCAGGAGCTCTACATCTCATTGTGCAGAACTGGAGCAAGACCTTGTAGCATGGGGATGCAAGTACGCAGTGGAATGAGCCAATAGTCCAGGGTTTTTACACAGGCTCAGCCACTGCATGTAGCTGTTGGAACAGAGGTCAGGACCAGGCAGGGAGATGGGGTGTACATGTCAATTAGAATTTACATCTGTTCCAAATATTCAAATTCCAACTAAAGTTGGACCTACAAATATTTCTTGGAAAGAGTTTACAGACACTCAGTGTCTAATTATCACTGTACAGTGGCTGTACAATGTGCCCAATTAGTATACAAGAGGAACAAGCACCTGCAGGATGAGATTAGGATGCAGCAAGACTGGCAGCCCAAAAATATTATTGGGCAGGAGGGATGAAAAGAAAAAGCTTTTGAAAACTGTATCTTTCCAAGAAATCCTGTAAAATAACTAGCCTTTCTGAAGATTTCCCAGGGGTAGCTGAAAGCTGCAGGCTGGCAAGAAGCCAAGCATAGATTGAGCTGTGATCAACTTTTCATGGCATGACAATCAGGCTACAGCTATTCCACATCTCTTGCAACTTGTCTGTCTTCAACCACATCCTGGATGTAAAAATGGATGCGAAATGTTGGTGCCTCTTGTTGCAGAGAGAAGCAATTCTGTCCCATTTCTTTTCTAAAAAATATATTTACATGTTGGGAATTTACATACATGAGGATGGATGGAAGAAGTGGGGGGCTGGCAAACACCTATCAGCAGAATTGTGCTTATAAACAAATCCACCTCACTCCTTCTACCACCCTGAAGGTTGGCAATCTTATAGGCACTGGAATAGTTCTGTTCTACAGTCACCTGTAAAACAATGTGGTTTTCCAACCGTGGCAGGCATTGTCACTCAGTCTAGGAGTTGGGTAACAGTGCTTGCCACTGGAATTTGCCCAATGACCTGGAAGAACCATGCTTAGGTGGACTGGAGTTTTTACTTTCTGGCTTGGAGAATGGACCTTGGTTGGAACCGGCCTCAGCCATGACTGCAGCTGACAGTCCTGGTAAAACTAAACCTCTGTCAAGCACTAAGATCACAACCGAATCCCCTTACGCCGGATTGGAAGGTTTGTCGATTTGGCCATATTACGCCAATTTTGTGTGAGATTGTTGTCAGTATGTCTTAAAGTCCTAGCCTGGCAACCCTAGAGAGTAGCTGCAGGCAAGCCCTTGAAAGGAGCCATAATCTGAATGGCTTTCCTTGACAGAAACTGGGCACGTCAGGACACCTTACCTGCATCACCTCTCCCTGTTCCGGTTTTGTTTTTTCCTCTTTATGTCAATAACATGTAGATGAATTTCCAAAACAACACAGACAGGACTGTCGGAAGAGTCTGTCTTTTCAGACATAGAGTTAGAGGTTATCTTGGCCATAAGGCCACTGCAGTGTAGGGCACTGAAGCCACCCCGGTCCATTGATGGATTATCTACAATGCACAGTGTCTCTGATCAAACAGTCACCTCTGTCTTGCTGGCTGTGCGGTAATGGTGGTGGTGCCCTGGGATATAGTGTAGCTGCTCCACTGTGTTGTGCCGCCGGGAGGCAAAGGCCTGGCGCTTGGCAGACGTTTGGTTCATACTCAAGGTGTTGTACAAGTTATTTGAGGCACTGGGATGGGAGTGCATCTTAGTCATCCGATAGCGATCCAAGACAGGCGTCGAAACAAAGACGTCTGAGTGTGACAAAGCCCGAGACATGGACTGCTCTCCGAAACCCGAGTGCTCTGGAGACAGCAGCGGGTCTTGGGAGTGGAGGCGCTCGGTGGATAGCAGCTGTTCATCAGAGAGGATCCGCTCGTAAGACATGCTGAACTCCTCCGGCATGATCCTCTCTGGGGACAGCACTCGGTCCTGGGACATGGCCCGCATCACGCGGCGCGGCCGCTCCCTCTGAGTGGTCTGTTTCTGGGAGAGCTGGATGACATTGAGAGGGAGGGTCCCTCTGGCCGCCAAGTCTGGGAGGTGCCTCTTTCTGGAGTAATACTCCTCAGCTTCCTTGTCAGCTGTGTGGAGGAAGGAGATGGGAAAGATAACGTTAAGGCTTTGCAAAAGTGTCAAGCAAGATGGAAGGCATTTTTTTAAAAAAGCTATGTCAATATGGTAAATGTGCAATGCAGGAAGTAATCTAGAGTGCTGCCATGATGCAGAACATCAATGGCTACTCCACTTGTGGAATATACAATTTTGCATATGGAGGATTTTTTTTACAAATCGTAGTAAAACCCCTTAGAGTGGAGTGGAGACCAGCACTTCCTCAGCAGCTCTTTCCCACATCTTTATTAATTGCCACTTCTAATAGGGATGAGGAACCTGGGGCCTTCCAGTTGCTGTTGGATCCCCTCGGGGCCAATGACCAGGGAGGCGATTGAGAGATGGCCGGAGGGGCACATGTTCCCCATCCCTGATTTATAATACGCTATTACAAAAACTATTTAAACTGCTAGGACAAAAAAGCTGCAGAAGACAGTTATATTCCCTGTGAAATATTTCATGTGCTCACTGGTGCTTAATTTCAACTGTATTGGTGATAGAATCTGTCCCCTCCCAGGTCATGTTGCAGCACTAAACTATGGAAGAAATGGAAGGAGGTATGTGACGGAATTCGCCACAAGTGGACCAAGCATCAAACTCGCCCATAATCGACCTGTCTGAACTCTTTGCAAAGCAGTCTTGCTTGCAGCAACTCCCTGTGGATTTCCCCGATACCATTTTTTCTATTTTTTAAATGACAATATTTGTTCCAATACTAATCATCACGTTTGATCTGCTCACTGGGTGCTGCTGAAATGTGTTTTCACTTTAACTTCTGTCTCATTGATTCACTGTTGATGTGACTATGTTGGCATTAACCACCATTAACATTCACTGCTTTATTGTTAACCTGTCTCTCACTTTTTGCCCCTGTGACTTAGGCAAACACACACAGAAAGTGCAGTCATTGTCTTTCGTCATAATGTGAATCTGATGCATATTTTTATAATAATCAGTTATTTTTTCTGTGATGCTGTTATGCTTATTACTTTTCAATAATAACCCATGCAAAAATATAAACTGCATTTTTTGTTCTCTTTTCTGGGCTAAGTGTGGGTGGGGTTTTTGAGATGTGGTGGAGGAATCATGAACTCACAAGTGCCCCAAAATCTGTCCTGTTCTAGAACTAAGTTTTTTTGGTGGGGGGAAATAAACAGCACCCCCAGTCAGCACCCCAACAAAATGCATTTACCTCCTCCACCGCCACCCATCTTGCATCAGTAAATCTTCAAAATGCATTCATTTTCCAGTTCTGAGAATGACTCTACTCATGATCATTCCTATATATACAATCAGCTAACATGAATTTCTCTGAATCATTCTACAAAATCCCTATCCATCAACTTAAGCCACTTCCCCTTCAATTCCAGCAGAGTGAAAGTCAGCTTCCCTATCCCCTAATTTCTGAACATATAGCTTGCTTGCTTATGGTAATATGCACACACCGTCCTTCATAGGTCAGTTCAGGCATCAATTACTGGGACCACATACACGCCATACATTTAAAGCACCATGAATACCACTTTAAAGAGTTTTTGCTTTCCCCAAAGAATTCTGGGAACTGTAGTCAGTTAAGGGTGCTGATCAGTCCCTTCCCATAGCTATAATTTCCAGAGCGGTTTAACAACCAACAGGAAACTCTGGGAATTGTAGTTCTTTTAGGGGACCCTTAGACTACAGCTCCTATGAGTCTTTGGAGGAACCCATGACTGTTTAAAGTGGTGGCTTTAAATGCATGGTGTGAATGGGGTATGGGTCCTCCCTTCTGTCTCCCTGGCCATCAGATCCAACAGTCATTCTGAAGCAGAACCCAGCTAAAAGTTCGTCCGAGGGTGGTTTACAATATAAAAACACAAGAACACATAACATGGTAACAAACGGAAACAACAACCCCTGCTAAAGACAACAACTTCTTCAAAAACACATAGACATACATACATAATTTAGATTTCTGTTTTAACCTAGTCCAGTTATAGCTCACACTTGCAGTACCTCACTCTGTATCACCCTTTACAAGGTTTCACTTACTTTGGAAAGCACAGTTAGTCCAAGGGGATCTTGCAGTGACCATCAGACTGCTAGAGTTAAAGGGATGAGCAGAAGCCTCCTGTGATGTATCTCTTGCAGGGGCTGTACCAATCAGACCACAGGTGGGACGTCAACATAAAGTAATGCAAAATTGTCACGTTGGAGGAAAGGCTTGCCTAGAATAATCTCCTGGACATGCTAGTTATACAGCAAGTATTTTATGCATGGAATAAAACATTTAATCCCCTACCTGCAGTCTGAAATGGTATAGACCAGTAATGGATATATCCAGTGGGACTTCTACTTGTCTGTTTTTGCTATTAAAGCTTAAAGTGTTTTCTGCTGAGCAGTATACACAACAAAGAGTTACAATGCTGTGCTCCAAAAACATATGGATCAAGAAGAGTACTGGCTGGAAAAGCAACAGTGGGAGGAGGCACCTATTCTGAAGCCTTCGCATTGGATAAATGATTGAATACCCGAGAGAGCATAAACAGCGTTATCAGTAATAAGGTCAAAGCATTAATCAATAATAGACTAAGATGCTGTGAGGTATACTTGGTGGCCTCAGTGAGAAACAGGGCTGAGCTGAAATGTAAGCCCCAACTTTGCAGTCTCATTTACAGGCTGTAAAGCTGAACCTGCTATACTGATATTTGGGGCGGGCGGGAAGAGTGGACTAAAAAATGGGCAAAGTTCATTCATTGTGCCAGGAAAAAGGAGACAGAAATGCACCCTTGTGTTTCCAAACAATGTGGGGATTGCATGGTGTGCTAAAGCTTCCCAACCCACAGCTGGCCCCACACATTGTCTGGGCAATTGGGCAAACGTCACAACTTCCTGCGCAGTAACTTGCAAGACACAGCTGAAAAATATGGAGAGCTGCAACTATGGTGCACCTGTGGCCCTCCAGACCTAGAGGGCCACATATCGCCCCACCCCTGGCCTATGCAACATGGGAGACTCTTCAGACACTGAGCCAATTCATAGTGCTAGAAGCTAGGACAGTCTGCCTCTGTCATCCAGGCAACTGGGTGACAGAAGCACACCCCCTCCACATTTCTAGTGACTCAGTGTAAGAAGATAGGCTGAGTTACTCCACTCAACTGCCTTGGCAATTAAACTCTTCTCCCTATAGCTGCTCTTGGTGTGCTGCAGCCTCACTTCCACTGAGAAGTTTGTGAATTGTCACAGAAGAAAAAAAGAAAATGAAGGATACATTGTGAGGGCTCGGGCAGTAGGGTATGCCACACTTCATACCCTGCCCCCCAAATCTGCCCAAAATTATTAAAGTGGCAAATACTTTGGCTTAGGCCTCATGCCAATCCAATGTCCCTAATGCAGAATGAGACAAATCAATTGCCACTGTTTGGACCAGGGTATTTAGTTCACAATTTTGGATGCAGCGACCTGCCCCAGAGTACACAGGAAGAGCTAAAAATAGCAGGGATCTATTCGGGGAAGGGGCGTGTCAAGGGCTAAACTGCACTGCTTATTCTTGAATTTAAAAAAACGAATGGAAAGTTGGGTGGGCTTTAACAGGGAGGGACACTAAACATATGCTTGGTCAATATGAAACAGCCTAGAAGAGAGGCTGCTGGGGTGATAGATTATCCTCGACCCTGGTGTGAAAGAGCAAGCTCACTTCAGAAGGAAAGGACAATGAAATAAGGATCACCTGGCCAAAGATTCTCACAGCAAGAGGGGAGGACTTGGCGGGGGGTTCAGCCTAACCATGCACAGTGAGTAGCAAGAGAATGAAATGAGCAGACACCTACTTAATCTCTTCAGGGAAGAATATTTACTTGGGTTAGTCTTGATTGCAGACTCGTAGGATGGTGGGAGGTGGGAGAGGTTCTGGAAAGACCTGGAGAAGGACAGATCATAGGGCTCAGTGGCAGAGGTGAGGATGCTGTTCATCCGTGGCTTTTCTGCAACACAGGGAGAAAGAAGACTTCCATCGAAACAGAGCCATAAGAACAACGAAAGAGCGCTCGGCGTGCAGTAAGTTCGGGCACACCCATCACATCACCCAGTCTTGCACTGAGAAGTAATTCAAACTGACACCAGCCAAGCTGCAAACAAGGAACCCAGGGCTTTGCTTCTTCAGTGTCCATTGCAATTATTAATGAAGGCAGAGTGTGCTGATACAGAATGCTTGCTCCTTCACCCAACTGATGCTAAGAAGACAGGCATCTCGTTATGTAACTGTAAATGTAGGTGAACAAGCCACGGGCTGCTCATTTCTCTATTCCGTTGGCTCCATTGCAAACACAGACATGAACAAATGCATTTGTCTGCTGAGTCCAACTAGTGGGCCAGCTGCTTTTCTGCTTTCTTCTTGCCTGGGCCTTGATCTTGCCCAACGCTTTTTGGCCTGTGGGTACATTTGCAAACCAGAGAAACGACACACGCGCCAAGCACACACTACAACCCGTTCTATTGACCACAACAGAATGCTCCTTTCAAGCCTAGTTTCAGTGGGGTGGAGGAAAAAGATATTGCTGGCATCTGTGCACTTCTGGGCACCAGTTTCACAACCCCTGCTCTCTAATCTACGGAAAATGCACTGAGTGCAGCTCAGACCCATGTTTCATTAACTGCTTGACCGGAGCAGAGAGAAATTCCACCTTCCTCCATCAACACCCACTCCCCTAGGCTCCTTTCCAATGATCACCTCCATCTCATCTTGGAGCCTGTGCCATTGGAAACATAGAGGCAAACCAACCAGATTGCAGAAAATTTTAAAATTCACACTACAGCAATAAACACTCAAGGTAGAGCAATAATGCGTAACTGAAGCTTTTTGCTCCAATTCTTTTATATATTCTAGCATATATACTCTGGCAAACTGGCAGACCAGTTTGAAGGGCATAGTGAAGGTCCTCCTTCCAGTTGCCAATCACCCTCTTGTGGAGATTGCTGGTTCTACCCCTATCCCAAAAGAGCCTTTACCCTTCAATATCCCTCCCCCAACTCCTAGCCTCACTGTATCCCAATTTCGGGGAACTGGCACCAGGCATACCTGCCTTTCCTCATTTTTAATGCTTGGTTAGACAAATGGTCCTTCATTACTCATTTTTGAAAATTCATTATTAAAATATTATTGCTCTTAATTACAGTGATAATGACCATGATTATATCCAAAGGGAGCCCTTAGGTGCTTTCAATATAAACGTGGTGTAATTTTTCTATTAACGTGCCCTGTAATTTGTCATCTCACCATCAGAGTTATTTTTAAATACGAATGACTACAGCTCTGCTTGGGTTGTTGGAGAAAAACCATGGCCACACATCAACACAGAGTGCAGTCATGGCCATATGTGTTGGAGAATGGCCTTTGCTTGCAGACGCAGCATCTGGTGGGATTAGGGGATGATCCCACACTTCTGAGAAAGCTACCCGTAGTATTTTGCAGCCTTCTCCAAACTGGTGCCCTCCAAGTATTTTGAACCACAAATTCCACTATCCTTCACCATTGCCAATACTGACTGGGGCTGCTGATGGGAGTTGTAGTTCCTTATCTGGAGAGCATCAGATTGGGTCTTTTGCATCAACCATGTCTCCTCTTCTATGCCTATAGGATGAGCGCCTCCCAGACGTGGCAGCAGATCCCATGTTTGAAGGTTCCAAGTTCTAAGAGCCTCACCAAATGATTGTGCGTCTGAAGCCATGCCAAGATTCTAATATATACAAAGAGAACACCTGCTTAGCAATGGTTGCTTTGTATCAGCAATCTTCTGGGGCGGCCATAGCTCAGTGGAAGCACATGCTTTGCATGCAGAATTCTACCTAGATTCTACCTCTAGTACCTCCAAGTCCACTAAGAAAGACCTCTCTCTCAGACCTAGCCAAGAACAGATACCATACTGGGCTAGGTGAGTCAACTGCCTGGCTCCGTATAAGGCAACTGAGAATCATTGAACCCATAGAGATCAAATGAACTGTGAGGCAGTTGGAGTCATGCTGTGACCAAATCCACACGGCTGTCTATCATATGGTTGGATAGGAAAAAAACTACAGTGGCTTGTGCTGATGTAACTGAAGAGTGCCTCTTGAGTTACATTGCCACACATGCTGCCCCGAGTCTCCTCTGGCTCACAGGATTTGGACAGGGGCTACTGAGCTGCTGATCAAAAGCACAAGCTGTCAACAGGAGGACCTGAGACTGAGGTTTTGGTGGTTGGATTCCAGCCACAAAAGGTTCGCTCACTGCAAACACACACCCAATACATTATAGAAAGAACAAGAGAAAAAGACAAAATGTTCCTGCAACCCTTTCAAGACCTTAACAGTGCTCATCCCCACAAGATTTCACCACAGAATTGCTGGGTCAGCTGCTTCATATTAAGGCATGTGTGTGTGTGTGTGTGTGTGTCTTAATCCAGACAACTAACAGAACATCCGCCTCCCCTCCATCACTGCACAGTGTAGTACAACTCTAGAGCTGATCATCTCACATCTTATGGAAGCAGAGAGTGCAGGGAGAAAGAAAACCTATCTATCACATTGATTTATATCTCACTCTTTCCCCAATGAACTCGCAGCAGTGGAAATATTCTTCCCTCAGTGATCAGGTTGAGGTAGTGACTGGGTCAAGGTCACCCAGCCAGGCTCATGGCTAAAGTGTGGATTTAAACATGGGTCTCTCCATAATGATATTAGAAGAGCCCCTCTGGAGTCTGCTAAAGACCCATCTAATTCGCAATCTTGGTTCCCACAATAGCCAACCAGATGCCCATGGGAAGCCCGCAATCAAGAAATGAGCACAATAGCACTCTCCTCTTCCAGATCCCCAGCATCTAGGATTCAGAGACATACTGTCTCTCATAATGTGTATAGCACATAGCCATCGTGACTCATAGCCATTCCCCCCCCCCCCAGTTTAGACCAACACTTTAACCATTGCACCACAATGACCTTGTGATCTAGAGTCAGGCAACCTTTGATGCAAGGGTGCCAGCACAACACAGAACTGGGGAGGAGCTCCATAGGCCCTGCCACCTAATCTGGGCAGGCTGCAGAGTTTGTTTGGTATTGAAATCACATCCCTTTGCTGCAAATCAGATCAAATGACTGAAGCCGGAGTTTAAAATTGTCTTTCATCAGCCCAAGCTAGAGGAGAATGGCCTGTCAAATTATAACATTTCTATATCACACCCAGGTGCTCAGGTATTAAAATAGGCAGAGATAAGAACATTAAAAATAGCGGCAGCAACTACTGTGAGAAAATCCCCAGATGACGGGGAAACAAAAAAAAAGGACATGGAGGGTGACTTCAGGCTGGTACCAATTGCAGCACCGCTCCTGGAAGCCCTGTCTGACTGTGGGTTTCTGAGGGATAATTCAAAGAACCAAATTGGCACAACAAGAGAGTAGTTGAGCTTCCATTGGAAATTGGTGGGCCGCTCTTACAATCCGATTAAGCAATTCTCTGACTGCTTTATTACACATGCAGCTCATGAATCTAACCCATGTTTGTTGTTGCCAAGAGTGGGTGGATGGATACTACAACCACCGTGGGGTGTGTGTGATTGGAGTATTCAGCAAAGACATCGCCTACTTCCTTCGCCACATGCTCAGCTCAGCCTGGATCCAGTGACTTCTGGACCCATATTTCTCCGCTTGCCAAGTGATAATGGGAACTGGCCCTCAACTAACAGCTGACAGTACATTTTCAAATATTTTCAGCAAGACTTCCAAACTTATTCTTGCAGACACTGCTCAGACATGTTTGCAAATAGAATTGGCATAAATGTATACCCTGGGGATGTGGTGTGGGCAGAGCTCCTATCCTGAATCCTAATGCTAAAACGCAGAATCTGAAGTTAGGCAAGGATACCAGGCACACTGCAGATTTTTCAGTCTTGACTCATTCCATCGAGGGTTAAGGATGATGCTTGTCATTTATGCAGCCTCAACTCTCTTGTTTTTTTTAAATCTAGCAAATTTGAAGAAACTGCCCGCAGGCACTACCTGCTGCTAACATATGGAGCATTTCTTTGGGTTTGGTGTGTGATATCAATTCAATTGTATCATTACCCTGTATAAATCCCAGTGGCTGATCTCAGATAAGAACCCACTAATGAAGTGCCTTGGACAAAGGGAGCATGTGAGAGGCTCAGAGATGTATGCAGGCAGCCAAACATACATTTCAAATGAAAGCCACTTCCTTGTGTAGCTATGATCCTTTCCCAACATCAAGAGATTTCCGGTCCGGTTTAAAAATTTGTCCTGGAAACCCATGTGTATGTGTTTCAGAATTTCATGGCGTTCTCTCTGCTTGGTCATGAGTATGTCACCTGTCTATTGGCAGCAGGTTTTTCACACACACACACACACACACACACACACACACACACACACTGGAATAGCATTAGTACTCCTGAGCAATGTCAGAGTGGAACTGGTTTTGCTTGCCGGATCTCCTGGCTCATCTCTGCAGCACGTTCCATTAGTAACAGTGTGCCAGTCTACTTGCTCTGAGAGTCCCTGCCTGCCACATCATACGATCCAGTAACCAACCCTCTCCTGCTCCTCCTTCCTGCCCAACTACATTCTGCAGGCACAAACAGAAAAATTGAGTTTAATACAACTGAGCACATCAAGGCCACCCAGAATGTTGTACAGTACAAGAAACACAGCAAGTACCCAACTTGTGGTGACCAGGTCTTCCTGCCCTCTTGGAAGGGAGAAAGGGTCAGAGAAATGTACATGTGCCCAGAAGAAGTCACACAGCAGCCCATTTCCCTGCTCAGTACATTTTGCTGTCTGAAGTGGATCCAAAATGATGGCTTCCGGTGATTGTGCACCTCTGCCCCACTAGGTCCACGACTTTTAAAGGTCTTGCTTCAGACTCCTTTCCTGACTTCTTCTATTTTCAACTCCTCTCCTAGTGCTACTTAAAGCACATAGGCTCAGCCTACTGCAT